TCATACCTATGCCACGGGTATGGCGCTCCCAGGATCCAATTCCGCCGGAGTTGTTACTTGCTAAAGCAGCTGCTACCTTCCTGCTACGGTAGGTGGAAGGATGAGAGGCAGATTGATGCTTCTCCGCGCCCGATGATAGTTCAGTTGATCTAGATAAGGCCGAGAGTTCCTTGTCCTCTTCCTCATCCGATATTTCCAGGTCTGCAGTTGTTTCCTCAGGTTTACTAGCTGTTCCCTCCTGTTAAGCAAAGATGAAGGAGTGACAGCGTAAAATGTTGACTAGTACATGGCGTACACACGTCTGACAAAAGTAGCTCGACGCTTGAATAACAAAAATAATTAACCCTAGCCTTGCCTTTAAACAGTCGCAAAAGTAAATGCAAGCAACATAACACGTTATTCGCAAACGCCTAAAAACTAGAAAACCAAAAAAATTAAAAAGTTACATCTAACTGACTGCCAAAAATAAACTCCGACGAAAGGTTGACGCAATCCACCGCCGCTTGTCTGAGAAAACGGCATGACTATCAACCTATTCGTCACACGAGAGCTACGGGAGGTTGCAGATATGGAAAAGTATAGCAAGACACAATAAGCAATTCTACCAGAGGAGTACCACGTGGTACTCTTCTGTTACGATGCATCGTACTTGTTTTGAGAGAATTCGCTTACGCAAGTGTGGAAGGGGAAACGTTTGAGATCATGAACATTTCAGATCCAAAATTTGAAGAATAGTTACCTTCACTCCACCGCTAACAAATGTTACAGGTCCAGAGTAGGTTCCACCCTTGCGTTTGCGCAAAGAGGCAACAGACCCCATACCAGTGGGTTCCGCATCAGAGTCCGAGTCGGAGGCAAACACACCATATATCTGTTGTTTTTTCGAAGAAAATCTTTTTCGCTTAAGGGGATCGAACATGTACTCATAATCGGCTTCAGAAATTCCGAAACGTTCCATCTCCGGTGAGGAATCCATCATCAGAAAAAACGACAGCAACGGAAAAGGACAGGTCCGCTGTTTGCCGAATTTGCAGCCTATTAACCACTACTTATTGGTGGCTCTATTTCACGTTGCTGGGGTTAATGATAACAATTTTACTATTCGGTTACCAAAATATTTTCAAGAAGTTAGCGTAAATGACCTTTTACGGTTTCGGTAAAATGAAGACATGAGGAGAGTAGAAAAGGTTTACAGAAGTCCAAGCTCAAGTCAATTAAGCTCTAGTAATATGAATTGAAGAAGCATGTGCATTCCAGTGCCCTCACATACCTATGCTGCAAGGTTCTGGTCCACCATGGCTATTTTATGTTCAAACATTATTTGTCTGCTGTAAATGGATCTTGTGGTGCGGAATTCTGAGTGCTTATTCGATGTATCTGGAGGCTCTGGTCTAAAATACCGTACGGGCACAGAAGCAACAACAAGTCGTACCTTGACCGCGGTTGGTTCAAATTTTGAGACAACGTGGACGATTTCTATAAATCGATATATTTACAAGAAGAAAAGCTTTTAGTCTTTGTATTCATTATACAAATATTCTTTATTAGATCTTTTTTATTTGGAATCCGCTCATTTCTCAAAATGACGTGACAAAGCTGAGATCGATCCCGTTTTGCAACGGCTGTTGGAGAATGCTGGT